ACACACACACACACACACACACACACACACGCCCATGCGCTTGCTTACAGGGTGCTCGAGCCAACGTGCTGCGCGCGGGCGGCGCAGCGACGAAGCATCTTGCCAAACTGCACGGACGGGTCGCTCGCAAACACCTGACCATGAAACCCCTCCGCCTGCACTCGCCCATCCACAGCACATGTACCAGTAAGAGGATGGATGTGTTTGTGGGTGTATATGTGTGAATGTGTGTGTCGATGCATTTCAGGACAACACAGCGAAGGCGCTGGACTGTATGTGTGTGAATGTGTGTGTGAATGTGTGTGTGTGTGTGCGTGTGTGTGTGAATGTGTGTGTGCGTATGCATGAGCAAGCAAAAACCATCGGAGACTGCACTGAGAGGCGATGTGGATTACCTGCAGAAACGAGTAGGCGCCGAGGAGAGATTCGTAGCTGCTGACCAGGACAACGTCCACCTCCTCGGGATCAACGTGGTCAAATGGGTTCTACAGGAAGAACGACTTAGGGTTTGAGAAAGCGCACAGTGCAAAACAAAACTGGAATTGGCGCAAACTTCAACACATGTGCATGAATTTGCGAGACGCACATATGCAGCAAGGCGAACACAACGAGATTGCAGCTTGACTTCACACACCACAGTTGCTTGCTGTACAGGAGAGATTGCCTTTGGGTCCTTCTTTCCCAATCTGTACCACACATATTGTTGATATTGTTGCAGTGAGTCTAAGATGTTGGCAATCCCTTGCAAAGGTCGTCGCGCTGTTGCATCTCATCGCGAGTACGGCCAAGTGTGCAGCCAAGTGTGCAGCCAAGTGTGTAGCCAAGAGTGTAGCCAAGTATGCAATCAAAACAAACAAACACACACACACACACCAAGCACGCGCAGTCCCTCAACGCAGCACCCAGTGCCGTGCATACACACACACACACACACAGGGGCGCGCGTGCGCAAATACTCTTACGCACTTGTATGTGACAGCTTGGACGGCGTCCTCCGGGGTTGCATGCTCTGGTGCGACGGGCGCATCCACAACGAACGTCACAGACTTCCAGCGAAGCACGAACCATGTTCCCGTCCCATCGCGTCCCCCGCCCGCAAGGCAGCTCTGCGCGCACACAGGATCGACAGCAGTCACAACAGTCGCAGCAGTCACAACAAAGGAGGGCGATGTCAGCAACCCTCTTGCAGAGAGAAGGAAGAAAGGAGCCAGACAGACAACAGAAGACACAAACACACAAGAACACACACACGCACACACACACACACACACACACACACACACACACACACACACACACACACACACACACACACACACACACGCGCGCCAACCACTGATTGATTGGGTTGAACCTGACAATCTGGCTGCAACGACGGTTGTAACGGTCTCACCGCCACCACCACCACCACCACCGCGCTTTGATCTGCTCTTTGTTTATTTTTCTTATTCTTTTCCTTTTTGGCGCTCCCACGTTGCAGCATTGCTTTGCCAACGTGTCACCCGACCGGCCATCCCCAACACACGCTTGTGTCCGGGTGTCTTGCTCAGTTTTTCGCTGAGTAAGCACACCCCCCCGTCACCACTGCACTGCATTGCATTGCTGCCCTCATCTCCTCCCCCCTGTTGGGTTGAACGCAGCAGCAGCAGCAGCAACAGCAACAGCAGCAGCCACAAGTACATCGCCAGCCAGCGAGTTCATCATTTTCCTCACGCCGACCAAGACCACAACTTGCAAGAGCCTCTGTCTGCTTTCTCTTACCCCGCTCGCCACCTGCAACCTACAAGAAGCAAGCCACCATGCACCGTCCCACCTGTGCGTTCATGCATGCACACATGTGCCCACATGCACACGATACACCATCGCACTCGGTTCACCTGTATCTGCATCCTGCCCCATCGCGCTGCCACGCATGCCATTGTACCTTTATTGCCATTGCAATCTCGCTGCCGTCGCTCATGTCATCAACTCGTATCCCTCCATATCCGCCCTTCGACATCCCCATGGCCACCTTCCATCCCTTGTCTGTGTGTGTGTTTGTCTGTGCGTGCGTGCGTGTGCGCGCCTGTGTGTGTGTGTGTGTGTGTGCGCCTTTGTGTGTGTGTGTGTGTCTGTGCCTCTCTCGATCTATCTCTCGGCCTCTCTCTCTCTCTCTTTGTGTCTCTGTCTCTGTTTCTCTCCCTCTCGATCTTTCTGTCTGTCTCTCTCTCTCTCTCTCTTGTCTCTCTCGTCGTGTCTCTCTTCCCCCCCCTCATTTTTCCCTCTCATCTTTCCACCTTCTTCATCACAGCGTCAAGTGCTCAGGGCCCAAGTGCCAACACCGCCACCGCCACCAGCACCACCGCCACCACCGCCATCGCTGCGATGAGCGCCACCGAAGCAGCCGCCATGACGGACGCTGCTCGCCGTGCGTGCGACTCTGTCAAGGCCGATCCCCAGGGTGAGCTGGCCGTATGCGCGCTTGCCTGCATGCATGCATGCATGCTTGCATATATATGTGTGCTAGTGCAAGTGTCATGCGTGCAATGGTGCGAGCTTGGCTTGCTACCCTTATGTACGACTTGCCCACGCGTGTGTATCAAACACCTGCCCCCTGTGTTCGATTCCTCGTTGACACTTGTCCATGCACGCACCATGAGAACTCAATCGAAGCATGCAGTGACAGCACTCGCGATCTGCAATGCATAGGTACGTGTGTGCGTGCATGCATGCGCGCACGTATGTTGTGACCTCACCAGGTTTCATACACTCTGCGCTGCTGTTCTTGTTCACTGCCTCAGGATCGACTGTGGCCAAGGAGGCAGTGGTTGCGTCCGGCCAGGTGGCAGCCCGCCCCCTGACGCGTTCGCGCTCCTCCCTGGCCACCGCCCAAACCACGCCAGAGCGACAGAAGCAGCGGCAGCAGCAGTTGGAGCAGCAGGAGCTGGAGGACAAGCACCGCCGGCGTGCGAGCGCCATCTGCGATGCACGGGAGAAGGTGAGGCGGCTGTATGCGTCGTCGTCAGCACCGCTCATTGCCATCCGGTATTCGTCCAGGATTGGCGATGACATGCGCGCCATGGTTCACGGGCTGGGCGGCCCAAAGCACCGCATCGAAGCTGCCCCGCCCATTCAGGCTTCAACCGCGCCCCCAAAGGCACGCGTGAGGGCTGCGGTGACGCCAACGAAGAAGGGTGCATCTCGCCTGCTCACTGCACGCCACAACAACGCCGCCACCACCGCCACAAGCAGCAGCAGCAGCAGCGGTGGTTGGATTCGACGTGACCTGTGGCAGAACGTGCTGCGTGATCAGCTCATTGCCGAGCGCAGTGGCGACAAAGCCAACACCACGCAGGCGAAGGAGAAGGAGAAGGAGAAGGAGAAGGACGGAGATGAAGATAATGATGGTGATGAGGAAGAAGAAGATGATGATGGTGATGATGATGATGCTGCTAGTGTGCACTGGTACGACATGGGCGATTTCACGAGCGGGTCATCAGTGCCACGAGTGTGTCACTTCCCAACGCACGATGACGACAACCACCGCCTGGCACGCCCCATCTCGGCAGTGCCGCCCCCACTGCGCACACTGCGCCGGCAGTCGGCCATGGACACTCTGCACGAGGTGGACGAGGACGCCATCGCCGCCAACGACGAAGCCGAAGCCACTCCCAGCACCACCAACACGACCACCACCACTACCAGCAGCAGCAGCAGCAGCATTGCTAGCACTGCCCTTATCCACACCACCAACAGTCACCGCGGTGCTGGTGATGATGCTGGCAGCAGCGAGGAAGAAGAGGAGGAAGAGGGTGGGCGACGCACGCCGCTTGCACTTGATCAGCCGGATGTGGGGCAGGCGCTCCCGGAGTCGACGTTTGCCACCCCACGCAGGGCCATCTTCTTCGCCGCAGACGGCAGCCCCCTGCCCCACGCCAATGACGTGCACGAGGAGGCGATGAAGCAGGATGCGGAGGTGAAGCAGGAGGTGAAGGAACAGAAGAACAGCGAGGAGCAGAAGAGCGATGAGAACGACAAGCAGACCGCCTCTCCAGATGATGATGATGATGATGATGATGATGATGATGATGATGATGATGATGATGATGATGATGATGATGATGATGATGATGATGATGATGATGATGATGATGGTGATGATGATGATGATGATGATGATGATGATGGTGGTGATGATGATGATGATGATGATGATGATGATGATGATGATGATGATGATGATGATGATGATGCTGATGATGATGAGCACACGTCTCTTCCGACGATTCCGGTTCGCCCCCGTCTCCGCCGCCGCAATGGCAGCTTCTCCCTGCTCTGATGCCTGTGTGTGGCTGCTGGTCTTCATGGATTCCTTTGAAGTGGCAAATGGGTGCTTCTGTGTTGAGTATGATGTGTGTGTGTGTGCTTACTGATGACATGTGTCAATGTCATGCGTGTGCGTGTGCGTGTGTGTGTGTGTGTGTCGATGACATGAAATGCATGCGTGCTGCTGTTGCCAACTCCATTCCATCAAAACCCCACAAGTAGCAAGCAACAACAGCGGACACAAGCACAATCAGTGACATTGCTTCGCCGTTTCTGCTGCCTGTGGAGATGGCGACGATGGACAGCGATGCACGGCAGGCGCTGGCCATTGTGGCGCAAGAACAGGCAGATGTGGCAATGGCATGCGGGCTGATGCTGACGTGCCGCGGCTTGTTCGATGCTGTGCCCTTCACGCTGCCCTTGCACGCAGCGGCACACCGCACTGTGCGCCGCACTCTCCTTCAAAGGCACAAGGCGCATGGTGGGGACGATGATGATGATGATGATAATGCTGCTTCATACTCCATGGCGGTGGTGTGGTCATGGGACAGAGAGGTGGCACAGGACTCGTTCGTCGAAGCCATGTTCTGGAGGTACACGTGGCTGGGCATTGCATGGGCCATCACGTCCGTGCCCCAGCACATCATCACGCCAACGGCCCAGCCACTATCACCTCAGCACCAGCAGGAGGCTGCTGCAAGCACCCCCACAACCACCACCACAACCACCTCTATCACTGGCCCCACACAACCACAACTTGAACTTGAACAACACCAACAACACCAACAGCACCAACAGCACCAACAGCATCAGCAGCAAGGGCAGCGGTCGTCCAAGGCAGCTGCCACCTTGACGCTATTCGTGGATTGCCGGAACCCGCAGCACTCAGCGAAGCTGCAAAGACTGCCTCCACTTTGCTGCCGCAGCATGCACATTCGGCTGGCACAGAGGGGTGCCATCGGCGTTCAAGGGGAGCACAGCAACAGCAATGCCGACGATGACCACGATGATGGCGAAGGTGATACCTTCAACCAGCGTCAGCAGCCAGTATCGCAAGCACGGCCTATGCCGGCCAACCAGCGCGTTCAACACTTTCTGGCAGCAGCCTTGAGGAGCGAAGCTGAGGGCACGGGGCAAGTACAGCACCAGCAGCAGCAACAACAACACCAGCAAGAAGGCGTAGTCCGAGACGGGCAAGACAACGAACAGCAGCACCAGCAGCAGTGGGGAGGAGAGGCTGTACATGTACAAGGATTCGAAGACATGGGCCAGTTCGAGCACGTGCACTCACTGCTTGCTCAGCGCGACGTGACAACAGCGCTTGCCGCTACGCACCAGCTGTATTTGGACGTGCGTGCGCTTCCGCACCATGTGTGCGTAGCCATCGCTTCCCAGCTGAGGGCCAGCACGCCCACCAAGCTCTGCGGCCTTGCCACCACAAACTCAAGCTTGCTCACAGTCATTCCTCACCAAACACGCGTCCCACGCACGCGCAGCGCGAAGGACATACCCGCAACAACCACCGCAACAAGGACACCAACAAGCACGACCACTGCACGCGAGAGGAGCGAAGAGGAAGGCGAGGCCGACGTGTATCGTCGCAAGCTGGATTACCTGTTGGTGACTGGTGATGTTGCTATGCAGGAGCACATTGACCTCTCGTACATCCGCCACCTCTACATTGAGGGAACGACAGTGGAGCCTGCGACTCTCAGCTTCAAGCACATCGACACGCTGTACCTGTCCGTCACTGCTAACACCACCCTCAACTGTCGCGAGCTTGCACACGTTGACAAGCTGTTTGTGGACAGTGCACTCGATACATACCGTGCGCACCGCCCCACCGGGCTTGCTGCCGAGCACGTGCATGACGTTGGCCGCATCACCGCCACATCAGTCGCTCTCGAGCCAGCGCGCTTGGAGCGTGTGCTTGCCCTGCACGTGCACACGTCCGCTGTCATTCCGTTCAAGCGCTTCACGGGCTTGCGCCACCTGCACGTCAGCACCGAGCAAAGCGACACACTGCGCACACTTCCGTCACTGCCAGCCCTTCGGTCACTCCACATTGACCACGTCTACTCCTTGGTTGCCATCAGTGCTCTGCCTGCATTACGGTCCCTCACCGTGTCGTTTTGTCCATCGCTTCGTCACATTGACGACGACTGCGCGCCAGGCATCGTGCATCTCCAGCAGGTACCTCGCCTCAGGGCCATCAACCTGGCTCGCGCAACCCACGTGCACATCATGCACGACACTGGGCTGACATCGCTTGTGTCGTTGCGGCACCCGGCACTGCTGCGTATTGATGTGCGCGACTCAACGCCACCCGCCCTCACCACCACGGCTGTCCTTATGAGGGCCACCCGTCTCCACATCGCCCTGTGTGCAACACGCCCAGCCACCTCGCAGCGTGTGCTCACTGCGGCGGCGCAGCACCCATGCCTGGAGCTGACGCTCATGCACAACACACGCGTGTCTGAGCTGCCACATTTGCCCCACCTGCGTCGGCTGGCAGTCAACACGGCTGTGGTGCCCGATATGCGGAAATGGCCTGGCCGCCTGCCCGAACTCAATTTGATTCGCATTCTGAACGCGGGCTCGAGTGATGGCCGCGATGGCAACGGCAGCGGTAGTACCGGCCCTGATGTTGGGAAGAGAGGGCAGAAGGATGAGAAGAGGGAGGAGGGGGAGGAGGCAGATGAGGGAGAAGCAGAGGACGGGGAAGGGAAGGCGACACAGCAACAACAGCAGCAACAACAACAACAGCAGCAGCAGCAACAACCACAGCAGCAGCACCGCCACTACCATCACCATCACCAGCCACCGCCGCTCCACCTTCCTCCAGCAATTGGCCGTTTGCGCATGGACACGTGCCTGTGTATCAAGCGCCTGCGCTTGGAGAATGTGGAGGAAGCGACTGTGCGTGGATGTGTGGTGCTGCAGCGGTGTCACCTTGCCAACGTGCGGCGTGTCACGTTTGACTACCTGCCAGCACTGACGCGCATCACACTGCAACCGTCATCGCCACCACCGCAGTGCGTGTGCATCCGTCACTGCTTTGAACTCTCCAGCACAGCAGCACGTGAACTGAGAGAGCAGGGCGTGAAGCGCGTCGTTGTTCTGGGGGAGGGAGGGGAACGTGGGACGCAGGGAGGGGTTGGATGGACGGAGTGAAACTTAATAGTTATTGGTTGTACCGACATGAATGAATGTAATAGACGACGAATAACAGCCAGAGGGACAGAGACAGAGGTGCAGTGGGGCAGAAACAGGTGCAGAGGGACACTAGACAGACACACAGACACAGACACAGACACGCACACACCCGCACAACACAGACACACACACATACAAGGTGTCACACCCAACACAACCCGCAACAAAACGCTGCGGTTCTTGGCGATTTGTTGAAAATTTCATAAAATTTTCGGCGGAAGACGACCGCCACAACAACAACAACAACACAACACACCTCTGCCTTCCCTTCCCCTCGTCTTTTGTGCGGCGTGCAATGGCATCACCGGAGCGTGAGGGGTTCTTTGAGGATACAAGCGATCGCGTAGCCCTCCTTGAGAACGCAGACATCACAGCAGGTTACTTTGTAGACAAAGAGCGCGCAAACGGCGGTGACAGTGCAGCAGCCATCGCCCATTCGTCCAGTGCAGAGGATAAGATGGTCCAACGGAGAGATCATGACGATGCGAGCCCTGCTGCATTCAATGGCAGCAATGAGCTGGGTGACATGACTGAGCCCCTCACTCTGGACGACAGCAAAGGCACAGACAAGGAGCAGGCGATCGAGCCCTTTGACGAAATCGATCAAAGTATGTGTGTGTGTGTGTGTGGTGGATGAATGTTTCGTGCACACACGCATTTCGCGGTTAATGTGTGTCTCGACTATTGTGCGATGATGACATCTGCTCCTGAGTCACGTCTGCCGATTGGTAAAGGTTTCGTCTAGTTCAATTCTCTCCTTCACCTCGAAGTGCCTTCATCATGTTTGCCACTTGGCCATGTTTGCGCCCTGATCCCAAGTTATTGTCCCAGTCAGCTCACTTGACTTTTCCTCTGTGAACGCTTCGTGCATCCATGTCTGTGGCACTGATGTGCTGGTGTCAGGTGCCGCGATTCCAAAGACGCTCACCATGTGGAACGGCGTGTCGTTCATTGTGGGCACGATGATTGGATCGGGCATCTTTGCCAGCCCCGGTTCCGTGCTGCTGCAGTCGAAATCCGTCGGCGTGTCCCTCCTGGCGTGGGTACTGTCTGGCATCGTTGCGCTCATTGGGTCGGCGTGCTACGCGGAGCTGGGCACGGTGGTACCTGAATCGGGCGGCGAGTACGTGTACATAAACGCGGGCCTCAACCGGTTCCTGGCCTTCCTGTTCTCTTGGGCAAGCTGCATGATCACGCGCCCTGGCAGCCAGGCCATCATGATCCTTGTTTCGGGGGAGTACCTGGTGCGCCCGTTCTACACGGGAGGGCGCGAACCGCCCGTGTGGGTACCAAAGGCCGCGGCCATCGTGCTGAACACGCTCATCGTGCTCATCAACAGCGTCAGCGTGAAGGCTGCCACACGCCTGCAGAGCTATTCCACCGCGCTCAAGGTGCTGGTGCTGGTTGTCATCTCCATTGTTGGGCTGGTATTTCTTGCACGCGACGCATCAAAGGACGGCACGCCAGCCCACGACAACCTCTCCAACGGATTCAAGTCAACATCAGGGAGTGAGTTGCGATATGTGCGTGCGTGTTTGCGTTTGCATTTGCGTTTGTGCGTGTGCGTGTGCACGTGTGTGGTGCACGTGTGTGTGTGTATGTTTGTTCATATGCATGCTCTTGTGTGCACGTGTGTGTTTATATTTGTACATATGCATGCTCTTTTGTGTGTGTGTATGCTCTTGTGGTTTGGCTTGCGGCTTCCCTCTGTCTCTCACCATCTTCTGTCTTGTACTCGTTGTTGAGTTCCGTGTCTTGTGTCATGTGGGCACGTGTACCTGATCCCGTTACCTTCTGCGCACCACGCCAGCCAACCTCACTCCCCTCTCACCCATACCCCACCGCCTCTTCTTCTCGTGCAACCACATCTACTCTCGTCTGCCCGCGCGTTCCAGCCGTGACCGCGGGCGCGTTTGGGCTGTCCGTCATCAATGGGCTGTGGTCATATGACGGGTGGAACAACCTCAACTACATCACGGCAGAGATGAAGAAACCTGCACGTGATCTGCCCCGCGCCCTCTTCATTGGCATGCCGCTTGTCATCGTCATCTACCTGTTTGTGAACGTGGCGTACTTTGCCGTGCTGCCCCTCGCCTCCATCGTCGATTTCGAGAACAACACGCCAAACGAGAGCTTTGCGGCCGACTTTGCGAGCGCCACCATGGGCGCTGCAGGGCTGGTGGTCATCCCTCTCTGTATCGCCCTCTCCGCGTTTGGCGCTGCCAATGGTGCGTGTGTGATGTGTGTGCGTGTGTGCGCGTGTGTGTGTGTTTGAGTATGTGTGCGTGTGTGTGATTTGTGCGTGTGTGTGATTTGTGTGTGATTTGTGCGTGTGTGTGCGTGTGTGTGATTTGTGCGTGCGTGTGCGTGTGTGGTGTGCGTGCGTGTGTGATGTGTGCGTGCGTGTCTGTGATTTGTGCGTGCGTGTGCGTGTGTGCGTGCGTGTGTGTGCGTATGTGATGTGTGCGTGCGTGTGCGTGTGTGTGTGTATTGCTCTATGTTGTTCGCATTGCGCGAGTGGTCCTCCCCACATCTCAGCTCTTCTTCTGCAATGCGTTTCCATTGCTCTCGCTTTCATCCCCCTTTTCTCACGTACACTCGCCATGTTCCACCATCACCATCACCATCACCACTGCTGCTGCTGCAGGCTCTGCGTTCACTGGCGCGCGCCTTGTGCGTGAGAGCGCGGTTGACGGCCATTTCCCAGCCGTTTTTGGCAATCTCTGGTCTCTCTCTGCAGGGTCCCGTGCTCCCGTCCCCGCGCTCCTCTCCCAATGTTTGTTTATGAATATGCGTGTATGTGATGTGAGTGCATTTGTGTGTGTGTGTGCGTGTGTGTAAGTGTATGTGTGTGTGTGTACATGTGTACATGTGTACGTGTGTGTGTGTAAGTGTGTGTGTGTAAGTGTATGTGTGTGTGTGTAAGTGTATGTGTGTGTACATGTGTGCGGGTACGTCTGATTTTCACGCCTTCTGTGCGGAGAAACATCGCTGCTTGCTGACGAGTATTGTCACCCCTCGCTCCTTGCACAGATGTCCTGAGCTCCATCATGATTCTCACGGGAAACTTTGATGCACTGGTCAGTTGTCCTGTGCGCATGCACTCGCGTTCACTTGATGCACCCTCCACACGCGGTCATGCTGTAGCAGTTGCTCAGTTCATTCGTTGTTCTCTCGATTGGTCTCTTCTATTTTCTTATCCCCCACAAACAAAACCACAAACACACACACACACACACACAAACAAATACACGCATACACACACAAATACACGCATACACACAAATACACACACACGCACACACACAAATACACGCATACACACACAAACAAATACACACACACAAACAAATACACACACACAAACAAATACACGCATACACACACAAACAAAACACACACACACAAACAAATACACACACACACACGCTCGTTATGTCTCAGGTTGCGTACTTCAGTGCAGCGGCTTGGTTCTTCTACTTCCTCGCTGTTCTCAGTCTTCTTCGTCTGCGCAGAATACGCAAGAGCGCCCCGCGCCCCTTCTCGTAAGCTGCCGTGGTTTCCATTGCTCATGTTTTGTGCTGGGACATGTGATGCGAGCAGGTTGAGCGCGGTGCCTTCGCACACACACATGTGAAATGCACACGTTCTGACTCACAAGTACAGCCACAAGTACCAGCCATGCACATTTCACAGTTCACATGTCGCTCACGCTTCGCTTCCCTGTTGTGTGTGTGTGTGTGTGTGTGTATGTGTGTGTGTGTGTGCTGTCGTGGTCGCACCACACTCGAGCAGCGTGCCGTTGGTCGTGCCCATTGTGTTTCTCGTGATTGCCTTTTTTCTTGTGCTCTCGCTGATCATACAAGCACCCACCGACTCCCTGATCTCCCTCGCCTTTATCCTCAGCGGCGTCCCGGTGCGTGAGTGAGTGAGTGAGTGCGTGTGTGTGTTTGTGTGTGTGTGTGTGTGTGTGTGCGTGTGCGTGCGTGCGTGAGCGAGTGAGTGAGTGTGTGTGTGCGTGTGTGTGTATTGCTTTGAGCATTGGACATGATTCACCTGTTAAGATACGCGCTTGTTGCTTTACTTGTCCAGAGTATCTCACCTCATCCCATGCGCACCCACCACCACGTCATTTCGTCCTTAAATCATCATCGCCACCATCATCACCGCTGCAGTACTACTACTTGCAACCACGCGTCATCAAGTGGTTCCGCCATCGTCGCAAGCACAAGTACACAACAGTCAACATTGCACCTGCAGACCTGCACGAACTCTAGCTCGGCCCTTCCTTTGTCCTGTTGTTCCTCCATCACATCACACTTCCTCCCTTGTATTTCTTTCCTTCCTTGTTCCCTTGCTGCTCCTCCACGTTTGTGCTCTTGCGTCGTGTGCACACCAATGAACGTGGTGTGGTGTGGTGTGTAGCTGCTTCTGCTGCTGCTGTATGCCTGCTTCTCCACAACACTCTTTCTTCTCTGTAACCGCTGTTATTACTGCTCTTGCCTGCATGTCTTCTTCCAGTTGCAGCCCTCACTTGTGTCTCACTCGCGTGTCCTGTGCACTTCTCATGCACGCTTGTGACGAGAGTTCTTGGCATTTACTGGTGTCGATGAAACATTGTGACAACAAAACAAAACCAAACAAACGGCAGGATCGCGCACTACACACAAACACACACACACACAGAGACACACAAACACACACACACACACACACACAAACACACACCGCTTCTGTCTGGCACCTCACTAAACATGTTCCAAACATGCGTGCGCATGCGAGCAGCCGGCGTGGAGGCGGCTACCTGCGGCGCGAGCGACGACGGCGGCGCCCAGAGTCACCGCCACCAGAGGGCTGCCCCATGTGGAATGTGCCACCTGCCAGGGAGGAGAGGTGATAGATGGGAGCAATGGTGAGTCCATGTCGCGAGTGTGGGGATGGGGAAGAAAAGTGAAAGCCACATGAATCAACACAGTGGACACACACGCACACACACACACACACACACACACGCACACATGCACGCACAGACGCACGCACACACACACACACACACACACACACACACACACACACACACAACACACCACACAGTAATAGCCCGAGAAACACTAATAACGTGTTAGTACTTTAACAGCCGTCTGCACGAGATATGACCCTAAGAATCGCGAATTGCTATTGTGTTATACATCACGACTGGCGGAGACCAACTATGTACTCGTTGACTCACACATGCACACACAGACGCACACACACACACACACACACACACACACGCACACATGCACACACAGACGCACGCACACACGCACACACACAGACACACAGACACCTATTCAAACATGCACACACCTGGGCTCTGCATGCCCGCAGGGCTACCAAAGGGCGACTGTCCATTGTTATTACTTGGAGAGAAAGCACCACCAGCACCACCAGCACCAAACGGCCCAGCTGAGCCAGGCCCGCTCGCACCAAACGTCTTGCCAACGCCACCGCCAGCACCAAAGGAGGGTTTGCCTGCACCAAACGTGGCCCCTGCACCACCCATGGACATCTGCCCACCGCCAGCGGGCTTGGACGCGCCGAACGAGGGCTTGCGACCACCGCCACCGCTGGAGAAGGAGAACGGGGGGTTACCGCCTCCAGTACCGCTGCCACCTGCTTGGAACTGTGGCTTGCCCATGCCACCACCAGCGCCACCAAACATCCCAGCACCACCAGGCTTTGCCGACGAGGAGGAGGAGGAGGACATCGGCATGCCACCGGTGCTGCCAAACGATGGTGACTTGCCCATAAACGACCCTTGTTGCTGCTGTGGTTGCTGCTGCATGGATGTGGGTGCCTTGCCACCAAACGTTGGCACGTTCTTGTTGCTGCTGCCAGGACCACCACTGCCGCCGCCACCAAACTGGAAGCCGCCACCCTGACCAAAGCCGCCTGGTTTCTGCTGCTGCTGCTGGCCCCCGAATGAGGGTTTGCCTGCCTGAAACGCAGACGGCTGGCCAAAGGACGGCTTGCTTCCTCCAGAGAAGCTAAACGGCTTCTGCTGCTGCTGTTGGCCAGCACCGCTTGCAGCAAAGGGCGACCCACTCTGCTGCTTCTGCATGGCACCGCCGCCGCCAAAGGGAGAGCCCGTCTGGGATGTGCTGGTCGACGACCCGCCGCCAAACGACAGCGCTTTCTGCGGCTGCTGGCCTTGTTGTCCCTGTTGTTGTCCTCCACCTGCACCAAAGGACGGGGTTCGCTGCGCACCCCCGCCACCGCCAAACTGAAATGGCTTGGCACCACCACTTGGTTGCTGCTGCTGCTGCTGCTGCTGCTGCGGTTGTTGGCCGGCGCCCTTGCCAAACTGGAAAGGAGCTGGGGACGACGACGACGACGACGACGACGCAGAGAACGATGGCTTCTGCTGCTGCTGCGCACCGCCACCACCACCGCCCCCAAATTGGAACGGCTTAGCAGCGCCACCGCTCTGCTGCTGCTGCTGCTGCTGCTGTTGTTGTTGTTGTTGGCCACCAAATGGGCTGCCTGTCGGCTTCTGGCCACCGCCAAACTGAAACGGCTTCTGCTGCTGCTGCTGACCCTGCTGACCCTGCTGCTGGCTCTGTGGTGCGCCTCCAAACGGTGAGGAGGATACTGATGTGGTGGGGGCGCCCTTCCCTGCAGAGAAGCTGAAGGGCGACGACTTTTGGGCCTGTGCAGTGGCGCTGCTGCCAGTGGCCGCTGATGTGGCAGACGTTTGCGCACCACCAGCACCACCAAAGGCCGGGGGCTTGGCACCGCCACCAAACGGCGATGCAGATGCTGACGCCGACGATGTTGGTGCTGCTGGTTTGTCTGTTGCACCCGGCTTCTTGGCTGCAAACGCAAACGGCGAGGACGAAGACGACGACGACGTTGCGGGCAAGGCTGGCGTGGCTGCACCGCTGCTGGTGCCTGCAGGCCTGGTCGCACCAAATGGCGACGACTTTGCACCGTCTCCAGCGCTGGTGGGCTTGGTACCACCAAACGAGAACGGCTTGGGCGCGGTAGCCTTGTCACCGCCACCTGCTGCCGTGGTGGATGCTGATGCCGACGTGGACGATGGTGTGGACGATGATGCACCAAAGGGCGTGGGTTTCGAGGCATCGGCGCTCTTGGTTGCTGCGCCAAATGGGCTGCTGCCACTGCTACCGCTGGTGGCAGGTTTGCTCTGTGATGCCTTGAAAGCGCCAAATGGCGAGCTGGCAGCTGCTGGCTTGGTGGCACCAGCGTCGTCGCCAGCAGTGGCAGCGGCAGTGGCGGGTTTGCTGCTGCCAAAGCTGAATGACGGCTTGGCACCAGACGATGATGATGCATCGGCCTTTGGCTTGTCACCGCCTGTCTTTGCCGCGGGCGCTTTGAAGGCACCAAAGGGGCTGGCAGCAGCCTTGTCAGGCTTGTCAGCGCCACCACCGCCTGCGGGTTTACCAAAGGGCGATGCCTTGGACGCTCCCGTATTTGCATCGTCGGCCTTGGCGGGTGGTTTGGCCATGCTGCCAAACGGTGATGCTTTGGCGCCCGATGCTGCACTTGCACTTGCACTTGCTGTTGTTGTTGGTGTGTCCTCTGCCTTCTTCGGCATGGCAAAGGAGCCGAGGGAGGAGGCTGCAGAGGTGCCACCAGCAGGCTTTGCACTGCCAAACGACAGCGGCTTCTGCTCTGCACCGCCGGCCTTGGTCGCGTCGCCCGTCGACGGCGCCTTGCTCGTGGCCGTCGTCGAGTCCGTGTGCGTCACCTGCAAGCAGTGGGTGAGGACATGGGATGAGGGACGTTGATGTTGTGGATTTGGTCAGTCAGGGTCACACGAGGCGAGGGATGTGAGCATGCAGATGGAGAGGTGGATGAACAGTCACAGGAATGCAACGAAGCAGAGGGGCAGAATTAGACGCACACACACACACAGACATAGACACACACATACTTGCACACACACACACAGATACAAGACACACACAGACACAGGCACACACACACACACACACAGACACACCACGCAACATGCAACTCACGGCGAAGATAGCACGTGTGCGTTCGGATTTGCGGTCGCTGCTCCATGCCTTCTCTGCTGTCGACGATGCCTTCTTGACAATGGCCGGCTCCTCAAGCATGGCCTTTGCTCGCTGCGCCTGTGCTGTCGTCAAGTGTCCGCGCATTGGGCGCCGCTGCGGCATTGCAATCGAGCGTGGCTTCTTCGCCTCTGCTGCTCCATCACCATCACCATCAGCACCATCATGACCTCCGCCGGTCTTGGTTGCGGCGCTCTCGTCTCGCGCTGGCGCTGCTGTTGCTGTTGTCGACGCAACGTTGGCATCCCCCTTGCCAGCGCGCTTGCGTGGCTGCTCATCCTCGTCTTCATCCACGTGACCATCACCACGACGGCTGCGTGCAGATGCAGCACTCTTCGCACCGCTGCTGGCTGTTGCGTCAGTCGCTACTGCTGTCTTGGCAAGCTTCCGCTCAGGACGCACGCCGGCCTGAGACGCACCGGCACCTGTCATATGCACACAGGGATGGGTTGGTAAGGCGGGGAGGAGGGGGAAAGGGGATGAGGTGACAACTCGAGGAAAAGAAAAACGATGCAGGCCGAGCCACATAGAACAAAGAGACAGGTACACGCAGCAGGTACATGTACGCGGGGACACAGAGACAGGCAAACACACAGACAGACAGACAAAAAAACGCACACACGCACACACACGCACACACACACACACACACACACACACACACACACACACATACACACACACACACCTCGCTTTGCGCGTGCGGATGAGAGACGCGGCGCAGCGGACCGCTTGCCGCGCTTTGCAGGGCGCCCTCTGCCCGACACATCAACACCATCCTCGTCACCAATATCGCGGCTGCGGCTGCCGCCGCCACCAACATCACCATAACCATTGCCATCACCAGCAGACCTGCGCTTTGCACCGCGTGCGTCGTCGTCATCATCGCCCGGGCTGCGGTGCTTGAGCTCCCACTCGTACTTCTCCGTAAGCTGCCGCTGTCGCTGTAAGTCGCGTGTCATCGTCTGCAGACTCTGGTTGTACCGTTCGCGCTCCCGGCGCAACGCCTCAGCCAACTCCTCAGCCACCAGCTCAGATGTCTTCGGCGACGCCACACCGCTGGCCGCTGTCGATGCTGTTGCTGTATGCTGTGCATCAGGGGACCTGCCACGTGTGACCGTTGCCTCTGATGATGGCGCTGTATCTGCTGTGGCCGTGCCTTCTGCTGCTGCTGGTGATGTGTGTGGTGCTGACTCGTCCGCCTCTGCGGCTTCATGTTGCCGCTGCTGCTGCTGACGCGACACTTGAAACTTGGCCGGCGACGGCACCTGCATTTGTGGTTGAATGCGTTCATGACACGGTTGGTGTTGACGAGTGTGAGTGAGTGAGTGAGTGAGTGAGTGAGTGAGTGAGTGAGTGAGTGAGTGAGTGAGTGAGTGAGTGAGTGAGTGAGTGAGTGAGTGAGTGAGTGAGTGAGTGAGTGAGTGAGTGAGTGAGTGAGCGAGTGTGTGCGTGTGTGTGCGTGTGTGTGTACGTGCGTGTGGGCACGCATGAGCATGTGCACGACAGACGACAATTATCACAGCCTTGCATAGCAGGGCTGTTGTCTCACGTTTGCGTGGACGACGTCGTTCATGTATGTCTTCCTGGCCACGGGGGCCGGGGTGGAGATTGCCATGGGCTCGCTCCTGGGCTTGCGAGCTGCACGTGCCACAGCAGCAAATGCAGTTCATGTCAGAACCATGCTGTCACAGCGGCCGCACACAGGCGCTACAAGGACGCAGCACGTTCCCAGCAAAACCACATGCACACACACACATGTACACACACACATGTACACACACACACACACACACACACACACACACACAAGTGCGTTCATGGTACCTGGGGGCTGGTATGAGCGAGCGTAGGAGCGGGAGAGGCGCACCACACCTGTGTTTGGCGAGGTGTGTTGGCCCTGCAAGCGCGGTGGCGAGCCTTTTGGCGTGGACGTGACCACCCCTGCCCGTCTGTTGAGACACAAAGCAGCAAGCAGCACGAGAAGTGATGCGCGTGAGATGAGATGGCACTTTCTGATCTCGACGAGAGATACATGAGTACAGAGGACTACAGTGCAGGTGCGTGTAGGCAGCTCACGCCCAACAACAACATGCACGACATGCATGGACCTTCGTTGACACACCGTGAGCCGTACGCTGTTGCTGGCCTTGTGGCAGTGAATGGAATGGCAGAGACGTTGGCAGTACCAGCTGCTTGTCGAGCAGCCGTGGATGGAGCCGTACCAAAGCCACCACGTGCAGGCGAGCGCTGGACGGCACCAGCACCGGCGCGTCTGCTCAGCGTAGCTGTGCCATTGGCGCCATGGCCAAAGAGACGGTTCTCGCGTTGTTGTTGTTGCTGGTGCTGGTGCTGCTGGTGTTGTTGCTCTGCGTACACGCGGCCGCCGTTTTGCGTGGGCTTCATGTGCTGTGTTGATACGGATGGTCGCTTGGAGAGCAGCGTGGCTGCTATGCCAGACACCAGTGCCGCAAGGACGAGCGTCACTGTGACATGCAGCAAGGGCAAACCCATGGCAACACCAGCAACGAGCACAACAAGCCCCGCCACGGCCACCAGGCCAACACGTTGCGCCAGCTGTGCCATCGTGCCTGTGGGGAGGGACAGAGCGCGAGCGCAAGTATAGACGGGCGGGTACGTGTTTGCGTGCACGTGCGTCTGCTGGGTGTGTGTGTGTGTGTGTGTGTGTGTGTGTGTGTGTGTGCGTGTGCGTGTGCGTGTGCGTGTACGTGTGCGTGTGCGCATGCGCATGCGCGTGTGAGTGCGTGCGTGTGTGGACGATGGATGGTGTGAGTGTTGTTACATGTGAGAAGGGAGCGCTCTTGAGCCACCGCAGTCGTTGAAGGTGCTGAGCGAGACAAGTTGGTGGTGGCGGAGGTGCAGTGTGTGTGTGTGCACGCTCTCTCTCATCATCAACCGTGCATGCGTTTGCTTGCTTTCTCACTTCTTGCTTGTTGCCTTCTCTGCCTTGTCGAAGCCGTTGCGGCTTGAAATGGAGGAAACTGCACAATTTCTCACTACGTAAAAATGAAGAAAATCTCTGATTTGGAGATCCACCGGGAAATTTGAATTTCAACGAACAACGACTCACAAACACGAACGACGACTGCGAGCACCTCAGCCACCCCCACCACACGCACAGCAGCAGCACGACGCGATGAAGGTGGACTTCCAGATCCCGGCCGACGCCGACGATCTGCTGGCCACAGATGCAAATGTCTTCTCTGTCGCAACCTTCTCCGATGTGCGCAGAATCTCGGAGTACAACCTCAACGACATGATTGCAGGTGCAGTTGTTGGTGGTTGAAGTGGTGGTCCTTCGTTGATGTTGTTGGTGTTGGTGATGTGCCTGCTGTTGTTCCGAGTGTTGTTGGTGTCGCAAGTACTGCCACTATGGCTGTTCGTACTGACACGACATGTACGCGTGCGTGCGTGCGTATGCCTCGCTCTGTATGTTGTTTTTGTTGTTACCGTCCTTATTGTCGTCTTTGTCACTGTTGTTGTTGCGACAGATGCGACAAAGACATTCAAGGATGGCACGGAGATCAGCTACAACTCGACATTTGACGTCTTCTTCAGCCTGGCACGGTGGGACAAGCGATTGTACCGTGGCTTAAGGCACTGCTTGTCCCAGCCTTGGTACACACGCCCACTCATATGTCACACAACACCAAAATTGCATGCTCAGGTTTTTCGGGGACTTGAGCCCCACAGTGCAGAAAGCAACCTGCTCATCACTGTTGTCAGGTAAGCACACACAAGTGCGTGTGTGTGTATGTGTGTGTTGTGTGCGTGTGTTTGTCGTGTGGGATTGTTGTTACATGCTTTTGTCGATGATAATTCCAGGAAGCGGTTGTGGCGGTGGAGGTGCGGGATGAAAATCAGATGGCGACACGAATTCACAGGGGTTTCTTCACCCATGTGTGCTTGCTAATGTACAACCCGCATGTCCTTGTACTCACCCATTTCTCACTCATCTACATCCAAACCTCTCCACCCCATCCGTCCACATATCAGGGATGCAGTGGTTTGGGCGCACGCTCCAGTCTCGCCTGCCTGAGATGAACAGCAACAGCAGCGAGGCGCAGCTTGGCCGCAACTGCCTCAAGATGTACACGTACCTCATCAGCTTGATTGCCTCCCATCAGGAGGGAGAGGCCGTCAAGCCAACGCAGCACCTGGGCGGCGCCACAAAGAAGACCAAGAAAACCAAGTCTGAGTTTTCGTGGAGCCAGGAGCGAGAACGCCTGCTTGCCATGATGCTGTCGCTCCTTCAGCTCGATGTGCCAAAGCTGTGGCCCATGTCCTGCCCCGAGGAGCAGTTTGTCAAGTAAGCGAGAAGGGGAGTGAGAACGAGTGTGGTGTGTGTGTAGGAGGAGAGAGAGAGAGAGGTGACATTGTATGTTGTGTTGTGTGTGTGTGTGTAGGAGTTAGAGGTGTGAAACTGTATGCTGTGTTTATTGCATTGTGTATGTGAGTGTGAGGATTGTGGGTGTTAGCAAGTGTTGCAAGACAGTGGGCGCGTGTGAGTGTGCTTAATGAGCTGTCCATACCAACAGCAAGCACATCACATTTTGCTCACACCACTGGCCTCTTGTTGTCTGCCTTTTCTTCCTTGCAGCCTCATTACGCGGTTTGCATATGTTGCGCTGGAGAACCCTGAGGTGGTCAAGGACAAAGACGTGATGCACCTGCTCACCAGCATCCTTGGTCTCATGGTCCAGAAGTACAACCACAGCCTCGGTCGGTTCTTGATTTGTGTGTACACGTGCATGCGTGTGTGATTTCGTATGCGCGCGTACATTTTGGGTCTGTGTGTGTGTGTGTGTGTGTGTGTGTGTGTGTGTGTGTGTGTGTGTGTGTGTGTGTGTGTGTGTGTGTGGTGTGTGTGTGTGTGGTGTGTGTGTGTGTGTGTGTGTGTGTGTGTGGGTGGGTGTGGGTGTAGGTGTGGGTGGGTGTGTGGGTGTGTGGGTGTGTGGGTGTGGGTGGGTGTGTGCATTTGCACTCCCTGAGTGTCCCCTTTCTTTTCACTCACGGTACACAAAATCGAATGCCGCCTCCAATGTACACAGGCGCATCCACAGCCATTGTGCACTTGCTGCCGCACTTCGAGCACCTCTCCCACCCACTGGCTTCGATGCTGGCGGCGTTTGCACACGACTTTGACAGCCCAGCCGTTGTCACAGACGTCCTCAGGTGTGTGCGTGTGCGTGTGCGTGTATGTGCGTGTATGTGTGTGTGTGTGTGTATGCGCGTGCATGTGTGCGTGTGTTAATGTGTCGCCACTGGCAATGATGTGCAGACTACACACGCACGACTGCCTTACGCCACTTGTTTTCTCACACACGCTCTGTCCATCCCTCGACGACGCCATTGCCTGTTGTCCTCTTTAGGGAGATTGCTAAGATGGACAACAGCGATTTCGTGCGCGATGCAAGTGGTTCCCGCTACTTTGCGTCTTTCCTGGCAGAGCTCGGTGAGATGCATGGAGAGAGAGAGTGTGTGTGTGTGTGTGTGGACGCATTTGTGTGTGTGTGTGTGTGTGTGTGTGTGTCGGTATCACTCGTGCTCATGAGCAACGCATCACGCACGCGATTGTGTCGAGCCCTACAACAGCACGTCACACATGTACGTCGTGGCTTTTACACAGGCATGTTGTGCAGGTAGTTGTTTACAAATCGCATTGGTGCAAACTCACTCCGCTCACCAACATCAACCTGGTTTGCTCGATTTGCACAGCCACTCTTGTGCCAGAACTGGTGCTGCCGTCCCTCAGCTTGCTGCTGCCCCATCTCGGTACGTTTGTCAAAGTTTGTCGAAGGGATTAGCCCACATTGCACAACCCACATTCCACAACGTGCATCAATCATTAACTCTCTGTGCAGCCGCTTTTGAAGCTTTTCATCGACACTTCGATTCAGTCAACTTTCTCGCCTCGCTCCGCGCCAAACACCACAACACACACACACACACACACACACACACACACACACACACACACACACACACACACACACACACACACACACACCATCTCACTGCCACTCGCGCGCCCTCCCTCCTCACTGTGTCCTTCGTTGCATTTGTGTTGATTGCACGACGACAGATGGAGAGGCGTATCCCATCCGCAACGCGCTGCTGAAGATGATTGGCGCCATCTTGACCACCCAGCTCCGCGCGGACCTGACACCCAATATGGCAGCCACCCGCGACGAGCTCATTGCCATCTTGGAGGAGCGCCTGGTGGATGTCTCGGCGTATGTGCGCAAGCAGGCGCTGCAGGTGTGGCAGCAGCTGGCACGCGAAAAGGCTATCCCCCTCAAGCAGCTGCAGCAGATTGTACCCGCGTGCCTGCAGCGTTTGGAGGACAAGTCGAGCCTTGTCCGCAAGCAGGCCATTGCCTTTATGACCACCATCATGCGGTGCAACCCGTACGGCGACCGCCTGGACTCGTCCTCGTTTGCAGCCACACTGGCGGAGGAGGAAGCCAAGCTCAAGGCCCTCATGGTGGACGCAGGCCTGCCTGTCGACGACGCTGGCACCACCACCACCACCACCAGCAAGAACAACGATGACAGCAACGACGAGGCTGATGCTGAAAACAAGGTCAAGGCTGAGGAAGAGAATGAAGTTGATGACCTGATTCAAGACTCTGACACGGGCGAGCAGAGTGATGTGGAGGCAGCTGAAGACAGCACAGTGGCAGATGAAGCAGCACGGACAAATGCTGATGGCAACGACGACATCAAGGAAGAGAGCGCTGAGCTGAAGCAGCAGCGTGTCATCACGGCGTACCTCCGGGATGCCGCGGCATTCTCGCGAGCATTGGATGCGGCTGTGCCTCTTGTCACCCAGCTCCTTGGCTCAACCACAACCACAGATGTCACCGAAGCCATCCAGTGCGTTTGCCACGTGCGAGGGTGGAGTTGTACGTGTTGTGTGTGTATGTGCGCACCTGTGCGTGTGTGTCCACACCTTGAGGCATCATGTCGTTTATCAAGCAGAGAAGTTGGTTGTGATTTATTGTAACTGTGTTTCTCACTTTTGCACGTGCACCCTGACTGCTTTGCATGAATTGACTGCCCACAGGTGCTTGGTGGTGGCTACGGAGTTCAAGGTGTGCGCTGCCGATGCTGGCGTGCGCAAGATGCTTGTCCTTGTGTGGAGCAAGGACGCTCCTGTGAAGCAGGCTGTTCTTGACGCTTACCGCCAGCTCTTCTTCAAGCCAGACCCAGCCCTCTTCAAGACCAAGAAGGTGCGCTATGTGTGTTTGGGAGAAGGGCGTTAGCGTGACTGCAAGTGTGTGCGTGCGTGTGTGCAACTATGTAGTGTTTATTCCACCACGACACGCCCTTTCAGTTGTGACGCGGCCTTGACACTCGAAACTACAAACACATGCTTTCCTTTACCGCTCACTGGTGTCTTGGCACACCATTCTCCCTCAACTGGTTTGGTTCATTCTGGCAGGCTCAGCACGGCATGGTGGCCAAGAGTCTGATGAGGCTGACGCAGAACGCCACGCTCGCAGACTTGTCATCCCTGCAAGAGCTCGTGTGCATCATGATTGCGGAGAAGGAGCTGGATGACGGTGTCCTGAAACAGCTGTGGGATGTGGTGGCACAGCGCGTCCCCAACATGACTGTCGCGCACGTGCAGCAAGCTGTCATTGTGCTTGGAATGGCGGGCAAGGCCATGCCAGACATGATCAAGGACAATGTCGGGTTGCTGGTGGCCACTGGTACGGGCCCGCTTGCACAGGAAACGCTTCTCCTCACCCGGGACGTTTGCATTGCCCTTCAAAAGCTGCCCGGCTCAAAGCGCATCACATCGTGAGTCATGTGTGCATGCTTGTTCTCTTGTGTGTGTGTGTGTGTGTGTGTGTGTGTGTGTGTGTGTGTGGGTGTGTGTGTGTGTGGGTGTGATTCGCCAGTTGAGGCAGATTGGATGCTTGCTGTGTTTCGATGGCATACTGTGGACGTGTTGTTGTTGTTGTTGTTGTTGTTGTTGTTGTTGTTGTTGTTGTTGTTGTTGTTGTTGTTGTTGTTGTTGTTGTTGTTGTTGTTGTTGTTGTTGTTTCTGCCTGTGTTGTTGTTTCTGCCTGTGTTGCTGTTTCTGCCTGTGTTGTTGTTTCTGCCTGTGTTGCTGCTGTTTCGATTGTGGTGGCAACGGTGATGGTTCTGGTGTTACATTACGTCGTGCGCTTGTACAAATCCATGTTGAGTCTCACAAGTTGTGGTGTATTTATGTGTGCAACAGGCGCACGAAGCCCCAGCGGTTCCCACGCGATCACGCGATGTTCGCGTCTTTCCTCGCTGTCATCAAGAACGCAGTTACCTCGCCGATCGAAGGGTAAGACCTCGCGTGTATGGGCAACACGCTGTGCTGAGAGCAAATGAATTACACCGCCCTGTACTTGTCGCAAAGCGTACCCGTACGCACACACATGTGCATACGCACACGCAGCACAATTTAAGCACCACATTGCACGGCAACAAATGCCACCCTCCCGCAACCTAATGCTCGCGTGCATGCGTCCGCATGTCTTCTTGTTTTACTGTGTGTGTGGATGTGTTCCAGGTTCATTCCTGCCGCAGAGCAGATGGTGAACATGGTGTTCAAGATGGCGGAACAGCCAGACGTGCTGTTGACGCCTTTCTTGAAGGAGATGACCGAGTGTGTGATGGCGGCACCACGCGATGGCGGCGGGGGCGCCGTTGATATGACAACACGCCTCACGCGCCTCATGTTCGTCCTCGGCCATGTTGCGGTGAGTGGTGAAAGACAATGCAGGACTTGTGCGCATGTGCGCAGCGTGTCCACCTCCAGCTTTGTCTTACACAAGCTGCTTGCAGCCCAATAACACCCAAGCGATTGAGCTGACTGTGCACAAGCATGCAGCATTTGTCTACTGTCTTGCCTATCTCACTTGTGGCACTGCACATGACTACATGTGCTTGGTGGACGTGTTTTTTCGGTTGCGTGCAGGTGAAGCAACTTGTTCATGCAGACTACGTGCTGCTGGAGCTTAAGCGACGGCGCATGCGCCAGGAAGAGGTGGACGCTGCGCACAAGAGCAAGGCCAAGACCAACAAACAGAAGGACGTGCGTTCACACAAGATAAAGTCTTGCATGCCTGCGAGGGACACATGCACACTGTTGTAACTTGCCCACGTGCACTGTCGTCATCATTACACAACGGCGCGCACCCTCTTCGGGTCTGCTGTTTTTGTACCGCATCGGCTTCACACGTGACTGCGTTCATTCGTTCATTGATTGATCTGATGTGTTGGCTTCCTTGACCACATGGACACCAGGAGGAAGACGATGAGATGGGCGTTGGCGGCGCCTCTGCTGAAGATCTTGAAGCCGAATTCATCCACGATGTCTGCGAACGCGAGCTTGTGCTGGTGAGTGCAAGGCCTGTGTGTGTGTGTGCTTGTGTGTGTGCTTGTGTGTGTGCTTGTGTGTGTGTGTGCTTGTGTGTGTGTGTGTGCTTGTGTGTGTGCTTGTGTGTGTGCTTGTGTGTGTGCTTGTGTGTGTGCTTGTGTGAGTTGTGTCGTGTGAATAAGGGTGTTCACTGCCATCATTGTTCGACGGATTACCGACATGTTCTTCTCTGCCCCGTCTATTTGCACACTACTCACACGCACCAACACACGCATCTGGCCCTTAGGGCAACACGCTGTTGACCAGCTATGGCTCTTTGATTGTGAGCGTGTGTGTGGCGCCACATGTGTTTCACAACGCGCATCTTCAGGCCGCAGCTGTCTTGGCCCTGACCAAGTTCATGTGCATCAGCTCGCAGTTCTGCGACAGCCACCTCCAGCTCCTGTTTACGGTGAGAACTATGTGCACTTGTGTGTTTATGTGTTGGGCGTTCACGTGCTGTGTGCACCTGCTCTCTCTTTCTTGCGGTTTTGCGACTGTTGTTGTGGTTGTGTAGCACTGCAGACTAGCCAATGTTTCCCCTGATTTTTCTGTCTCTTCTCACTAGCCCCCTGTCTGTCGATTCCAATTACACTACACTCACCACGTTCAATTGTTCATTCCTGTCCCTCTCACTTCATTCCCAGATTCTCAAGTCGTCGCAGTACCCTCAGGCTCGGTGCAACGCCATCATTGCTCTTGGTGATCTTGCCTTCCGTTTCCCAAACCTCATCGAGCCCTGGACCGACCATCTCTATGCAAGGTCTGCTGCAGAGTGCTGTGCTGTGTCGTGTTGTGTTGTGTTGTGTTGTGTTGTGTTGTGTTGTGTTGTGATGTGTTGTGATGTGTTGTGATGTGATGTGATGTGATGTGTTGTGTTATGCACATTTGTTTGTGTGCGTTGCACATTTAGCGTGTCGACGTGCTGGCGTTGGCGTATGTGATATTTGCTCATTGCAACAGCGCCACCTCTCCCAACGCGTGCGCTGCAATTTGTGCAGATTGAAGGACGAGAACCAGCAGGTGCGCCTGAATGCGGTGATGGTGCTGACCCACCTCATCCTCAACGACATGGTGAAAGTGAAGGGCCAGATCAGCAACCTCGCCGTCTGTCTCGAAGACAACTGCACGCGCATTGCCGACCTTGCTCGGTGCGTTTTGGTCTTGGAGGAACGTGTCGTGTGTGTGCGTGTTGTGTACTGTGTGTTGAGTGCGTGTTGTGTACTGTGTGTCGTGTGCTGCGTTTGTTCATCGCGTCCATGTGTGCATGTATACATGCGTGCCACATGCTGCCTGTTCTGCAACACTTGCAGCTGTGCAATCATGACACGTGTCTTCCTAACATTTGTTCTGCCGCCCTTGCTGCTTGCTTTTCCACGACAGCCTGTTCTTCTCCGAGTTGTCGAACAAGGGCAATGCCATCTACAACGTCATGCCAGACGTCATCAGCCACGTGGGTTGCTCACGCGCCTTTGTATCCCTGTGCGCGTGCACATCGTAGTTGTTGTTGTTGGTTGTGCTGTTATTATTATCGGTGAAGTTTTGTTTGAACAGATTTGATGGTGAGAGTGCGCTCACAACACGGTTGTTGTCTCACCCCAATGGGTCTTTATTGCCCTGCCCCCACTGGACACAACAGGTTTCGCATGAGGAAGAAGTGACGCCTGAAAAGATGAAGAGCATCATGACATTCCTCTTCTCGTTTATCAAGAAGGTGGTGCACATGATGACACACCAGCAAGCAAGCCATCAACTGTTTATCCTTTGAGCGACAACACCAACCATCACTCATTGTTGCTGTGGTTCTGTGCTGGCTGACTCACGCGCTTGCTCCCACACACCTGCGGTCTCTTTGCCTCGCAAACACGCGCCATCTCTCCCTCTGCCTTCATTCCTCCCTACCGAAGGATCGTCATGCTGAGAGTCTGGTCGATAAGCTGTGCCAGCGCTTCCGCACGACGCACGAGGTGTCGCACTGGCGCGGATTTGCCTTCTGCCTCTCCCTCATCAACTACTCTGATCGCTGCCTGAAGAAACTCAACGATCAGGTGCATTCTCCTGTTTGTTTGTTTGTTTGTTTGTTTGTTTGTTTGTTTGTTTGTTTGTTTGCTTGTTTGTTTGTTTGTTTGTTTGTTTGTTTGTTTGTTTGTTTGTTTGTTTGTTTGTTTGTTTGTTTGTTTGTTTGTTTGTTTGTTTGTTTGTTTGTTTGTTTGTTTGTTTGTTTGTTTGTTTGCTTGTTTGTTTGTTTGTTTGTTTGTTTGTTTGCGCGTGCGCGAGTGTGTGCGTGCGCGAGTGTGTGCGAGTGTTGCGTTGGCTGCGATTTGTTGAGTCGTGGTGTCATGCATACGGCGCGCGTGCTCGTGTATGCGTAGAACGCGCACGCAACCACAACGCTCACACATATACACACACGTATATACACACGCGCATTTTTTGTCCTTCCACCCACGACAGTTTGCCTGCTATCACGACAAGCTTGGGGATGAGGCCATCTACTCCAGGTGCAGTTCAATCTTGAGCACTTGACCCTGCTGTTGCTCAATGTTATTGTTCATGTTTCATATTCTTGTGCGACGCCCACGGGACTCATTCTGACCACACACAACACGCGATATTCACGCTGCGACAGCTTCCAAGACATCATTGGCAAGGCGAGCAAATTTGCCAAGCCGGAGACAAAGGAGCTTGTTGCCGTGCTGGAGCAGCGCATCAACAAATGCCACGAGCAGGTGTGAGATGGGAGGAGTGTTGAGGTGGGGTGGTTGATGGTGGAAGGTTGAGCGTGTGACATGCAAGTTGCACGTTCCGGGACGCCGATCACTTTGGAACGCTTGTCTTTCGTCCGTCTCTCTTGTTTCTGCTACACCCTCACACACGCACACACACACACGCGCGCACACACACGCACACACACACACACATACACACAACACACACACACACACACACACACACACACACACCCTCACACACTCACACACTCCCTCACACACTTTCTCACAACTACCATCATCACCACAACAACCATGACGACAACCACGATGCTTGCAGGGTGCCGAGGGCGCCACCATTGCTGCCAACGCTGCAAAGGCGAAGAAGAAGACGGGCAGCAAGCGGTCAAGTGGGCGTGGCCGCAGCAGCGCGAGTGTCAGCAGCAGCACTGGTGATGAGGACCCAGCCATGCATGACACCGACGACACGGAGAACAGGGTGACCCGTGGTGGTGGGAAGCGCAGCTGTGCTGGACGCAAGAAGGCTGCTGCCAACAGCAAGAAGGGCAGAGGCAAAGCAACTGCAAAGCAGCAGCAGCAGAAGCAGAAGCGCAAGGCAACACGTAAGCATGGGATTCGCAGCTCACAGCTTGAAGACTCTGATGACTCTGAAGGCGATGGCGATGTGTCTGACTTTGAGGTGAGCGGTGATGATTTCAGTGACAGCAACGCTGCTGCTGTTGACATGCTGCTTGACGAGAGCGACGACGAGGAGGAAGACGTGAATGTGTCGCGCGTGGACCGGAAGCGCAAGACGGTGAAATCGCGGCGGCAGCGCGCCCTCCGCCTCATTCAAGAAGAGGAAGAGGAGGAGTTGGGTGGCGAGGAAGACGTTCTCCTGGCATGAGCCGGCCTGCATTTGTTTGCATGATGTTGTGACGTTGGGCATGATGTCGTTGTGTGTTTGATTGGTTTGGCGTGCGTGCGTGTGCTTATGTTCATGTGTGTGTGTGTGTGCGTGTGTGTGTGTGTGTGTGTGAACTGCTGACCTGAATCACGTCAGTCGCGCAAACACCTTTGATGCTTTCTACTTGCTTGACACTTGTTTGTTTTGTTTCCTTTTCGTTGTTCTTACATTACGTTCCAGAAAGCCATTTGTTGCGGCTCACACATTGCACGCTTTAGTGCCGTTACTGTGACTGATTTGCACCTGTTCCCTGCACTGTTTCTTCTCTTTTTTTCACCTACTGCTGTTTGCATGGGATTGTTTCGTTCCAATACACGAAAGGGCATGCAACAAGAGTGGGTCATTTATTGTGTCAATGATGAACGCAACGCGACGCAATGCAACAAAGCACGAGACAGAGTGCCTGTCACGCTGGCGTACCAAGTTTCCATCGAGTGTTCTCGCTACCCCGTTGCAACCCCTCCCCCCCCCCCCACACACACACACACATACACACATACATAGTCAGGAGGAGAACATGCGACGAAACTGACGCGCCTGCTCTGCTTCCCTATCCGCTATCGCCTCCGCCTCTTTCCGTGCCCTCATCTTCGCAGACAACTTCAGCGACGACGACGACGACGAAGATGATGACGTGCCGCGGTGTGGTCCCACGACTGCCCGCACGTCGCCAGGTTGGAAGTGTGTGATGCGTGCGCCAGTGCTGCGTTCGCGCGCGGCAATGGACGCGGGGGCGTGGCGACGAAACACAGCGCTCTCGGGAAGGTCAAAGTACGACTTGCGTGACGTGGAGGTGATGACAGAGCGAGGACGGCCTGCACGCGTGTCAATGTCGTCTGCGTCGCTTGCAGCTGAAGATGCACTTAGCAGCGACGCCACTGCAGATGCCGGGGGCTGCCTGCTCCGAGACGCCAGCGATGACGACGATGATGCTGATGATGATGACGTTGATGATGACGAGGATGTTGTAGATGAAGGGGGAGCGGATCCAAGCCCGCGCCTGTCGTGTCTGAGGACGGTTTTCACGGGTTGCTTCTTTCCCGATCCGGAAGGCCCCAGACCGGACTGTTCGTCCCATCCTATCTGTTTCATGAGCCTGTAGCCCTTGTTGGCGCTGCTGAGGAGGAAGGGGTTGCTCTGCACACGGTGCTGACAGCAGAACTGATGCAGGATGGACGCGTTGTGGGCAGCACGGGGCTCTCGCTTCAGCTCGTTGCACTCTGGGCAATACCACTCCTCCTCCTCCTCACCAGCATCATCACCAGCATCATCACCAGCATCATCCTTGCCTCGACCTGCTGTTGACTGCGTCCTCTCTGCTGCCGGCGTTTGTCGTCCACCTCGATCTATGCCGACTCCACCCCTTTTATCGCCTTCGCCCTCATCTGCACCCACACCATCGCCTTCGTTGTGTGTGTCGTGTGTGGCGACGGCAGCAGTAATCAGCTCTGCCAGCGCGCTGTGTCCGCTCATGCGTGCAAGTTGGGCTGCGTCTCGTCCGCGTGTGTCTTTGTGCCCCAAGTTCGGTGGTGGGCGGTGGGAGAGTACCCACGTGACAACAGTGGCGCTTCCAGCCGAGGCAGCCACTTGCAGCAGCGACCACCCATATGCGTCAGCCATGTTGATGTCGAAGGTGGCCGGGTTGTCAGCGGCGAGCCGCTGCAGGTCCTTCATCTCGTTGTTCTGCGCATGGACGAATGCCCTGTTTTTCACAGTGGTTGCCGACAGCGCACCCGGTGCCGCCTTTGCTTTCTTGTGGCGTGGTGGGCCATGTCTCGATGATGACGACGGCAGGGATGGCGACTGCGTCCTTCGTTTGATCTGGTGTGGTCTGCGCTGTTGCGCGCGCTGAAGTCTTGATCTCGCTCGGGCACTGGCTTGCCGTGTGACTGCTAGTTCTTCTCTGGCACCCGCTTCTGCCTCGTCGCTGTCATCATCATCGTCATCGTCGTCGATGACGATGACGTGTGCGTCTGAAGAAGAAGAAGACGATAGTGTCGGTGTTGTATCTGTGTAACCGCTGGGTTGAAAGCTTGACCTCAACGTGCTGGCGACTTTGATTTGTGTTGGTGGCTGCCGGTGCTGGCGAACGTTCTCGGATGGCATGTTGATGACTTCCTCGTACAAGCGACGGGCGTCGCTGCCAGAGAGGTTTCTTGCCCAGTGCTCGCGCTCTGGTTTCCTTGTGTAGCTCTCAAACTCGCTGCAGGTGCACCAGCGCGTCTGGTCCTCATCGTCAGGCACCTCTTCCCCCTCTTCCGCGTTGCCTCCACTTTTAACACCACCGCCGCTACGATCACTGCGATCACCGGCGGAGGATCCTGGACGCAGACGGCCACATAGCGGACATGTTCGCGTTGCCGGCACAAACCCGGGATAGATTCTGGACCTGGCAGTAGAGGCTGCCTGCTTGTCCACATGTGCAGGTCCTACCACGAACGTTGTGCCTCCCTTCACCACCTTCCTTGACGCTGTGCTCGTAGCGGCGCTGCTTGCGGTTGCGCTGGTGGTTGTGCTGCCATCATCGTCATCTTTGTGGTTGTCGTCGTTGTGATGATTTGTCATCGTTCGCAGTAGATGTAGAAATGTCCTTGAAGACATTCACAGGAATCTACAAACAAGGCGAGTGTCACAACAGCAACCATGCTGACAAGGATGATGGTGAGGGGCGCTGGTGCGCGCCGCAGTGTGCTGGTGACAGCAGCAGCGCAGACATGGCGACGGAGGTATGGCAGTGGCGTTTCTGATGAAGTGCACCCACTGTCGGAGGGCAACGGAGAGCCCACACCACGCCGTGCCTTGCTCTATCTCCCTGGACACGATGAACGCAAGGTTTGTGTTTGTGTTTGTGTTTGTGCTTGTGTGTTTGTGTGTGTGTTTGTGTGTGTGTGTGCGTTTGTGTGTGTGTGTGTGTGCGTTTGTGTTTGTGTTTGTGTTTGCGTTTGTGTTTATGTTTGTGTTTGTGTTTGTGTTTTTTGTTTGTTTGTGTGGGTGTTTGTGTGTGTGTGTTTGTTTGTGTGTGACGTCGGACGTGCAAACTCGCTTCAATAGGGTCCAAGCAGCAAGGATACGTGCAATGCTCTCTCATGTCCCACGAACCTTACTCAACCCTGCAGGCGACCAAGGCTGCAGGTTTGGACGTGGACTGCGTATGCTTGGACCTGGAGGATGCGGTGGCCCTGAACCGCAAAGAGGGTGCGCGGAAGAGCGTGGTCAACCTGCTGTCCACCCTCGACTTTGGTGAATCGGACGTGGCTGTGCGTATCAACGCCGTCAGCTCCGGTCTTGCCAAGGAAGACCTCAAGGCCATCCTGGCCGCGGATACCCTGCCCAACACCATCGTCCTCCCCAAAGTCGACCGGCCGTCCGAACTCGAATGGGTGTGTGTGTGTGTGTGTGTGTGTGTGTGTGTGTGTTTGTGCTTGTGTATGTGTGTGTGTGTTGTGTTGTGTGTGTGTGTGTGTGTGTGTGTGTGTGTGTGTTTGTTTGTTTGTGTGTGCGTGCTTGTTTATGTGTGTGTGTGTGTGTTTGGTGGCCACATTGCTTTATTGGTTTGCTCTGTTGTGACATGATGGCTTGTGTGTACCCTCTGCCATTAGTTCTTCGATACCTCTGACCGGCTGCTGCGGAACCAGCCCCGCGACACGCCTGCCAAAATCAAACTCATCACACAGGTGTTGCGCTGAGCTGCCTGACTGCCCGTCTGTTTTCTTGCTTCCCTGCCTGCCTACTTGCCAACCCGGTCCACGTGTACACTTTCTTGTGCGCTTGTCTTGGTCTGCAGTCAT